ACAGACCCCCACACAGCCCAGAGACGTCACGGCCTGAGACACAGACCCTCAAGCAGCTCAGAGGATTCAAAGCCTGGGGCACAGACCCTCACATAGCCCAGACACGTCGCGGCCTGAGACACAGATCCCAAAAGACCTCACAGACCTCTCAGCCTGACACGCAGGCCCCAGACAGCCCAGAAACGTCAGAGATGGAGACCCCTGGCCGCTAAGAGACCCAGAGTCTCAAAGCTAGATCCCGANCCGAGACGCAGACCCCAGAAAACAGCCCAGAGATTTCACAGCCTGACTCGCAGACTGCACCTGGCCCAGAGATTAAAGAGCCCGTGAAGGAGATTTCCCAACAGTCCAGAGACCTCAATAGCCTGAAGCACAGAGCCCCAAGCAGCCCAGAGACCTAACACGTTGCACTGAGACCTCCAAACAGGGCAGAGAACGCACAACCTAAAACACACTACCCCCAGCAGGCGACAGACCTCACAGCCTGAGAGCAGACCCCCCACATCCGGCCCAGAGACCTCACGGCCCGGAACACAGACCCTCATAGAGCCCAGAGACCTCACAGCCTGAGATACAGATCCCCAAAGAGCTCAGAGACTTCACAGCCTGACACACAGTCCCCACTCAGCCCAGACACGGCAGAGATGCAGACCCCACATGGCTGAGAGGCCTCAGACAGCGAAACGGAGACCCGCAAGGACTCCAGAGATTTGGCCGACCACCAAAGAGGCCAGACACCTCGCGTTCTGCTCACAGACACGTACGCATCCCAGAGTCCTTCGAGCCTCAGACGCAGACCCCCAAACAGCCCAGAGACCTAACACGTTGCACTGAGACCTCCAAATAGGGCAGAGAACGCACAACCTAAAACACACTACCCCCAGCAGGCGACAGACCTCACAGCCTGAGAGCAGACCCCCCGCATCCGGCCCAGAGACCTCACGGCCCGGGACACAGACCCTCATAGAGCCCAGAGACCTCACAGCCTGAGATACAGATCCCCAAAGAGCTCAGAGACTTCACAGCCTGACACACAGTCCCCACTCAGCCCAGACACGGCAGAGATGCAGACCCCACATGGCTGAGAGGCCTCAGACAGCGAAACGGAGGCCCGCAAGGACTCCAGAGATTTCGCCGACCACCAAAGAGCCCAGACACCTCGCGTTCTGCTCACAGACACGTACGCATCCCAGGTCCTTCGAGCCTCAGACGCAGACCCTCACACAGCCCAGAGATTTCACAACCTGAACCTCGGGTCCCCTCACGGCCTAGAGTCAGAACCCTCGCACGTTGCCTCAGAAACCCACAAATAGCCTAGTGGCCCCACAGACTGGAATAGTGCTTTTCCGAGGGCTTAGAACCCTTCTAGCTAGAGACACACGTTGACAAACAGTCTTGAGTCATTCTTGGCTCACACTGAAACTGTTAAACACTCCAGAGATGTCACCGCCTGTACCTGGACCCCCCAAAATCGGACAAACTTGCCCCTATAGATACAGCCCTCCAAATAGCCCAGATAAGTCACAGTCTGAGATACAAATCCACAGACAGTCTAGAGACTTGGTATCCTGAGACATAGACTTCCATGCAGGCCAGAGACTTCATAACTTGAGACACAGACCCTAAAGAACTCCAAGAGATTTCAGCATGAAACTGAAACCCACATAAAACCCGGAGACCTCTCAATGTGATACTCAGATCCCTAGACATCGTAGAGGCTTAACAGTTTGAGACCAGGGCCCCAACCATCCGAGAGACTTCACAGCATCAGATACAGACGTGCAAACAGCTAAAAGACCTTAGAGACTCAGACGTAGACCCCCCCCAAACATCCCAGACATCTTACTTCCTCCTACAGAGATCCCCAAAGAGCCCAGAGTCCTCACAGTATGAGACACTAACCCCAAAATAGCCCAGAGTGCTCACACTGTACATTCAGTCCCCGAGACAGCCTGAGTTCTCATGTGCACACAACCGAACATCCAGGTGACCTGCCATCTTGGGATAGTCCCCTCCAACTTTCCCATGTTATGCTGAGGGAGGCAGGACACCTCAGACATAAGTTCCCCAGCACCTACTACATTTCAGGAACATTACATCCAGGCCACCACAAATGCCTTCTGAGGGCCTCTCTCTCGCCCTAACAGTGACGGGCAGTGAGGACATGTGCGTGCACTTCTTTGATGTGGAGCGGGCGGCCAAGGCTGCTGTCAACAAGCTGCAAGGCCACAGCGCGCCCGTGCTTGACGTCAGCTTCAACTGTGACGAGAGCCTGCTGGCCTCCAGCGATGCCAGTGGCATGGTCATCGTGTGGAGGCGAGAGCAGAAGTAGGGTCCTACTGGCTCCGCCACTGTCCGCCGCCATCCCACCCCCACTACCCCCGCCTCGTGTTGTAAATAAAGTTGGGGCGGTTGTGCTGAGGGCTGGCTCCCAGCTCTGCCAAGAGCTGGGGGGGAGCGGCTGCTGCTGGACCTGAGGTGGGGTGGGCCCTTTCCCCCCCTGCCTTCCTGTGTCACTGTACCCGTTCACTGAGCTAGCAGTGATCGGATGTCTGCTCAGAAGCAGGCTTTGCTTGAAGTGTTTCACTGTCCTGTGTTTGACAGACATTATTGAGTGCCCACTATGTGCCAGGAACTGTTCTAGGCACAAGGGATACAGCTGTGACCTAAACTGACAGAAGCCCCTGCCCTCATGGGGCTCGCATCCTAGTGGGGGCAAGTAGACAGTCAACAAAACCATGTTAATAAGTCAGCTAAAGACCTAGTGGTACCCAGAAGTCTAAAGTGAGGATGGGAGAAAGAGTTGCAGCAGTGGGGGGTTGGGCTCTTTTTGGTGACTTCGTTTGGGAAGACATTCTTGAAAGAGTGACATTTAAACAAAGACCTGAATGAAGTGAGAGGGAGCCATACTGTGTGGGGAAGAACATTCTAGGCAGAGGGAAAAGCCAGGACAAAGACACTGAGGCTGGAATATGCCAGAAAGATCATTGTATAGGCCAGAGTGTGATAGCAGATGAGGTCGGACAGGCCAGGTGCCATAGGGCTTCGTGGGCCACAGTGAGGACTTGGGCTTTTCTTCTGGGTGAGGGGCAGTCCCCAGATGGTTTTGAGCAGAGGAGGGCAGGATCTGACTTTGTCATAACATGCTCCCTCTGGCTGCTGTGAAGGGAACACACTGTAGAGGTGAGGGCAGAAGCAGGGGACCACTGCGACAGCAATGATGGGGACCAACAGCAGGGAGTGACAGTGGAGGAGTAGTTGGGTTCTACCCTGGGGGGTTCATCATATTAGGCTGCAGGACTCTGCTGTCTCCTCAGGGGGCTGAGTGTCCCAGACGTGACAGCCCCTCCCTGGGCCCCACAGCTGTCTGTGCATCAGGTTGTCTCCCACCAGTTAGTGCAGAGGTGGTGAGTGCTTGGAGTGCCAAGCTGGTGCAGGGGCAGCCATGGACCTGAAGGCTGAGCTAGGGGCCCTGCCATGGGACAGCAGTGATGGGGAATCTTTCTCCACCCCCAGAGAAACCCTCCAACCACCCCTGTCTTCTCCCATGCCCATCCAAGTCCCAAATTCAAGCCATGGAGCAACTCAGAGACCAAAAGGTGATGCTCAGTATTTGAGGGAGCCTTCAGTGAGGAGAGAAAGGTTGGGTATTGACAGGGGAACAAAAACCAAAATCCCTTGTCAATAGCCAGAAAACGTCAGTGTGACCAGAAATTCAAAGAGCCTCTCCTCCAGCTCAGTGCACGGCCACATATCCATCAATTGGAACCGTGGCTAACATCTTGGGACCTTAGCGTCAATCCGCAGAGTCACAGAGACTCCAACCTGGGGACTCGTGGCTATGATTTATTCTAGCAAAAAGATGCCAAGCAAAATCAGCAAAGGGAAATGGTGCATGGGGGCCAAGTCCAGGGGAGACAGGCGTGAGTTCCCCCAGTAACGGGTTGTGACAACCCATGTAAAATGTTGCCAACCAGGGAAGCTCATTAGAAACTTAGTGCCCAGGGCTTTTATTGGGGGCTGGTAACATAGGCACCCCCTTCCTGTCACATACCCCAATTCCAGACTCCTAGAAGTAAAACAGGTGTTCAGCAGAAACCACATTGTTTGTACAAGCAGTTTAGGCACCGTGAGCCACTCTTGTCATTTAGGAAAGGGTGAAAACCCCTCCTGAAATCTAAGTTCCCAGATACCAGCCAAGGGCCACCCTCAAAGCAGGCCTTTGCAAGAACAGTAGGTCAGGCCTGTTTTGCTAACTCTTCTCTGCGTGGTCTGCAACACCAAACAGATGCTCAGTTTCAGCCAAGGTCTGTGGATGGCAAGATAATTTGGGGGAACCTCATTTTTCTCTAACGCTTTTTCTTTTCCTCACGCTCTTTATGTTCTTTATTGAATCTGGATTCAAGATGATTGATCATGATTTTCATTGTGCATGATTTTGGGAGTTTCCTCCTTGTGAAATTTTGAGGTGGCAGAATTGACATTCTACTTTAAATTTATCTTGGTGATGCTATTTTTTGACTCACAACCTAAGAGGAAATAAAATAATGGGCAAATAATAAAGAAAGAATAAAAAATAATGTTATCAGTCAAACTTGAGCCTCTGTTAATTTGTCCATCATCACTGTGCCTCTGGTTTGACATCACATCTGAAGCTCTGTTAACCATTCCGCCGCCAGGGCCACTCTAGTCTTGTCTCAAGTACAGGCTTCCAGTAGCTGTTCTATGCCTTTTGTCTGACTTTGAACCAAGAGACCCTCTGGTCTGAGCCTGAAGCTGGGCGTTTGTTAATAATTACCCCACCAGTGTTCCATTTGTCAAATCTCAAACCAGGGCTTCTGTATACCAGCAATTGTCTTCTGATCTGACCTTGAACTTGAACTCTGTTAATTATTTTATGATCAACACCCTTTTGCTCCATTCCAACCTCAAGGACCTTCAGCCCTTACCTTGAATTTGGGCTTCTATTAATTATTTCACCATCAGTCCTCTTATGGCATCAATGCCAATCTACACCTCTGTGTTAACAGCTGTATCATTAATGCCCATGTGGTCCAGACTTAAGCCCAGGGTGAAATAGCTTAGTTCCCTGTCCTCCCCTTGCTTTAATACTTATTTTAATTTTTTTTCCAGCTAATATTTGCCTGTATGTAAGTTTTTATTTAGAGTTGGGTTAAGGGTTAACAGCTGAATGCATTTCTGCACTCTGTAGCTCTGTGGTTACAAGCCTGTCAGTGTTTAGCCTTCCTGTGTTAGTACTAAACCACAGCCTGCCAGCAATTTCCTGTGTAGATGAGAGACAAAGTTGCTTTTTAATTTGTGCTAAAGAAGACCCCTACTCAAGACCTCATGGAAGTAGTCTCATTCTTCAACCACACTTCCTGCCCTTGCACCCAGCTGTGATGAAGCCCCTTACCCAAAACTAGTTAACCACCTGTTAAAGACCCCCGATTTAGGTAACTCTGCCTGAATACAGACAGAGCCAATAGAAATGCTGGCTGCTTACCTACCCAAAAAGAGTATTTAAGGCTAGTTCTCCCGGCATTCTGGGCTCCGGTCTTTGGAATGCTAATTCCCCTGAGTCTGCCAGCATAATAAATCTGTGTTCTCTGTCTCACCGAGTGACTCCATTTCTTTTGACGACTCCTTCTGCAACAAAGGTTCTGTTAACTATTCTACCATCACTGTCTCTTTGGTCTGACCTCAAATCTGGGCATTTCTTGTCATTTCCTCCACCAGTGCCTATCTAGTATGACCTCAAACCCAAGCACTTTAAATTCTACTACCATCAGTGTCCGTCTGGTCTACCCTCAAACCTGAGCCTCTGTTTTTTTGTTTGTTGTTCATTTGTTTGTTTAACGATACCGGTAAGGGGATCTTAATCCTTGGCTTGGTGTTGTCAGCACCACACTCAGCCAGGGAGCTAACCGGCCATCCCTATATGGGATCCGAACCCGTGGCCTTGGTGTTATCAGCACCACACTCTCCCGAGTGAGCCACGGGCCAGCCCTGGGCCTTAGGTTTAACTCATTATCAATATTCCTTAGAGCTGATACTTAAACTTGAGCCTCTGTTAACTTTTCCACACTCTATAGTGGAATAGTTTATTGGCCTGACCTCAATAAATTATTCCACTATTTATACTCACTTGATCTTTCTTTGAACCCTGGCCTCTATTTACTGTTCCTCAATAACTGTCCCTCTGATTGATCCTGAACCTTGGACTCTGGTCATAATTGCAGTATCAATTCCCTCTTGGTAGGCCTCAGACCTGCATGGCCTATTAACTTCCACTCTGTTCTGACCTTGAACCCAAGTTTCTGCAAACTATTTCACCATCAATACCCCTCTGGTTCCATTTGGAACTGAAATTCTGCTGACTATTCTTTGGTCCAACCTTGAACAGGGCCTCTGGTTAATATCCCACCATCACTGGCCCTCTGCTCTAGCTGGGCCTTTTTGAACTCTAGAACCATCAAGTCATCTCTGGTTTGACCTTGAATTCAGACTCTGGAAGCTTTGGCTCCAAGTCCCCTTTGATCTGAATTCTCACATGGGCATCTCTTAACTAATCCAACGTGACAGGCCCCTCATCCAATCAAAACCCAGAGCTTTCATTCGCTGTCCCACTGCTGGTGCCCCTCTGCCCTGACCACAAACCCAGACTTCTCTAAACTATTCCTCCATCATCAGCCCTCAGGTCTGACTGAATTGAGACTACTGTTAACTTCCAACATCAAAGGGCTCTGATCTGATTTTGAATTATTCCAAAATCCCCACCTCTCTGGTTTGAGCTCCTCTATCGACAATACCACCATCAGTGTCCTAGTCTGCCTTAAAAACTGGGTCTCTGTTAACTGTTCCACCATCACTGCTCCTCTGGCATGGCCTTGAACGCAGGCCTTCATTTAATATTCTAGCTTAAAGGCCCTTCTTGTCTCAAATCAAACCCAGACCTTTGTCAGTTCTTCATCCAAGAATGCCACACTGGTCATACCTGGGCTTCTGTTTAACTATTCAACCTTCAGTCCCCTCTGATCTGACTTTGGACTTCAGCCATTTTATTTTCACTCATACCATCCATACTCCATTGGTCTGACCTCACAATGGGTCCAATATTAACCAGTACAGTATCAATGTCCTTCTGGCCTGTTCTCAAACCAGGGTTCTCTTTTGTAGTCATTCCACCTTCCATGTCATCCTGATCCCTGATCAAAGCTCTTCCACTATCCTTGCTCCCTGGTCTGCCTGATTCTTACCCAGGACTTGTTTACTCTTCCACGTTCAAATCAACTGGTCTAGTTAGCCAAGATAGCCATTTAAGTATTCCAGACCAGCCCTGTTCTCAAACCCAGTCCTCTGTTAAATATATCACCATCAGCTCCCCTCTGGTTTGACCTTGAACCTGATCCTCTGATAACTGCTCCATTACCAGTGCCTTGTGCGTTTGTCATTGAACTTATGCAATTGTTATCTCTCCCAGCATCAGTGCCTCTAGAGTCTGAATTCAAACCCCAGGCCCTGCTAACTATTCCAGAATCTATTCCCCTCTTGACTGACCTCAATTGTCCCCATCCCTTTTTCTGTGGTCTGACCCTAAACCAGGGCCTCTGTTAATTATTACACCATGAATGCCCCTCTAGTCTGAGTTCAAGCATTTGCTAACTATTCCAACGTCAAGAGCTACCTCTCCTTCTAGATATTCAAACAGAACAATTGTTAACTAATTAAAAATCCTGGCCCTGTATCTGACCTCAAATCTGGGTCTCTTTATTTCATCACCAATGAATTTCTGGTCTCTTATTGAACCCTGTGTATTAACTCTTCTATTATCAGTGCCCCTCTTATCTGACTTTTTACCGTGGTTTCTGCTCATTCTTCCACTGTTGATTCCCTCTTGGTAGTGTTTGCCTTCCACCCAGGGCCCTGATTAGGTGACCCCTGTTAATGCCCTCTGGCCTGACCTTAAACAAGGGCTTTGGTTAGTGAGTTCACCATCAATACCCTCCTGTTTTAGAGCACTGACCCTGGCATGTTTTAATTAGTCCATCACCTATGCTCTATTTTCTGACCTTGAACCTGGACCACCGTTAAGTCTTTTAACATCCATGCCCCTTTGGTAAGACTTCAAATCTGGGATTATGGTAAATACTCCAGCATTAGTGGCCTTCTGATCTGAACTCGATGTAGGAGATGAGAACTACTGAACTTATGCAGACTTTAAAGTGGTCATGACTAGGAAAATACAGACTGCGGTGTGGACAAAACCATCCACAGAACTTTCTCTCTCTCTCTTTTTTTTTTTTTTTTTTTTGGCAGCTGGTCAGT